CCGACATTATTTTATATTCATCATTTCTAAAAACGTAAGTAAACATATATCATAAGGTATCATCAGTTCTCTAACAATTTTATTATTATTGAAAAAAATTTTTGGAATGGTTATACAGGGTGTCTCAAAATTATCTACAAATATTTCAATCATAGATTTTACAAAATAAAATAATAAGAAAATCTTACATATAATTCAGACTACAAATGACTACCATCTTCATATATAATCATCTGAAAAAGAACACTAAATTATGATTTATTATAAATTTTTAAGAAACCCTGGACCATTAGATAACAAATTTTCGTGCATTTATGAGATTTTTCATATTCAAAATGTGTGCAAAATACCAGGTATCTTTGAATCTTCAATATTCTTTCCATACAATTTTTCATAGTTTCAGCAGATAAAAGGAAACGTCATCATTTTCACTGTAAAATGGTACTTTTGTTTAAGTTAGGTATCATTAGTTGTTTTTAATATAAATCGATTTTGAAAATTTGAATATTTACTGTTTTAACCATCAAAAAGTTCATAAAAAAAAGTGAGGGAAATAAGTGCTCAATGTTTTAGCAATTTTTGATGTGTTTGAATGAATTTTCGTAATATTTTCAACATAATATCAAATCAGTGATACAATACACAACATGTTCATATAACTAATCCATTATTTTTTATGTCAACAGATACTTATTCTACTTATTGGATTTAATCATCATTTGGCATACTTATTTCTTCAGTCTTCAGTCTTCAGTCTTCAATTTCTTCAAGATGAATTTTCATCTTCCAAACATATGGATATAGTTGACGAAAAATCTTCGAAACTATGTAAGTATATAGTTATCGTGAACTATTATAAGTTATGTATCACTTCCTCAATTATAAAAAAATGTTTAGAATATTCATACAGGGTGTCCCGATGTTACATAGAAATATTTTATTCATAAATTATCCAAAAAAAAAAATTGAAACAGAATTTCATATAAACATGCCATTTATAGTTATGGATATTTGAAAAAAATCCGTAGATAACGATGAATTGTAATTATTTCAGCAACTTTGTGTTAATAAATAACAAAATTTCGAACATGTATATTGCTTTTCAGGTTTATATATAATCATCTAAAAATGAACACTAAATTATGATTTATTATAAATTTTTAAGAAACCATATATCATTAGATAACAAATTTTTCTGCATTTATGAAATTTTTCATATTCAAAATGTGTGCAAAATAGTTGAAACCAGGCATTTTTGAATCGTCAATATTTTTTCTATACAATTTTTCATAGTTTCAGCAGATAAAAAAAAACGTCATCATTTTCACTGTAAAATGATACTTTTTTGTTTGATTTAGGTAACATTAGTTGTTTTTAATATCAATCTCTTTTGAAAGTTTGAATATTTATTGGTTTAACTATCAAAAAGTGCATAAAAAAAGTTAGGGAAAATAAGTGCTCAATGTTTCAGCAATTTTTGATGTGTCTGATTGAATTTTTGTGATATTTTCAACATAATTAAATCAGTAAAACAATACACAATATGTTCATATAGCTAATCCATTCTTTCTTATGTTAACAGTTACTTATTCTTCTTGCTCTGGATCTAGTCATCATCTGGCATACCTATTTTGCAGCAGTCTTCAGCAGTTTCTCCAAGAAGAATTTTCATCTTTCAAACACATGGATATAGCTGACGAAAAATCTTCGAAATTATGTAAGTATATACATATCATGAACTATTATAACTTATGTATCACTTCCTCAATTATAAAAAATTGTTTAGAATATTCATACAGGGTGTCCCAATGTTACATATAGAAATATTTTATTCATAAATTATGCAAAAAAAATTTAAACAGAATTTCATATGAACATGCCATGTATAGTTATGGATATTTGAAAGAAATCCGTAGATAACGATGAATTGTAAATATTTCAGTAACTTTGTGCTAATAAATAACGAAATTTCGAACATGTATATTGCTTTTCATGTTTATGTATAATCATCTGAAAAAGAACACTAAATTATGATTTATTATAAATTTTTAAGAAACAATTCATCATTAGATAACAAATTTTTCTGCATATTTATGAAATTTTTCATTTTCAAAATGTGTGCGAAATAGTTGAAACCAGGCATTTTTGAATCTTCAATATTTTTTCAATACAATTTTCCATAGTTTCACCAGATAAAAGAAAACTTCATCATTTTCACTGTAAAATGATACTTTTGTTTAATTTAGATAAAATTAGTTGTTTTTAATATAAATCGATTTTGAAAGTTTGAATATTTACTGTTTTTACTATCAAAAAATGCATAAAAGAAGTTGGAGGAAATAAGTGCTCAATGTTTTACCAATTTTTGATGTTTCTGATTGAATTTTTGTGACATTTTCAACATTATTAAATCAGTAATACAATACACAATATGTTCATATAGCTAATCCATTCTTTCTTATGTTAACAGTTACTTATTCTTCTTGATCTGGATCTAGTCATCATCTGGCATAATTCCCGCAGTCTTCAGCAGTTTCTTCAAGAGGAATTTTCATCTTCCAAACATAGGGATATAGCTGACAAAAAATCTTCGAAATTATGTAAGTACCTATATACATATCGTGAACTATTATAAGTTATGTATCACTTCCTCAATTATAAAAAATTGTTTAAAATATTCATACAGGGTGTCCCGGTGTTACATAGAAATATTTTATTCATACATTATTGAAAAAAAAAATAGAAATACAATTTCATAAAAACATGATATGTAGTTATGGATATTTGATAGAAATACGTAGATAACAATGAATTGTAAATAATTCAGCAACTTTGTGTTAATAAATAACAAAATTTCAAACATGTATATTGCTTGTCATGTTTGATTTTGGAAATGATATAAATTTATGGAAATTTAAATTAGGAACGTGTACAATAATTGCGATTATTCGATGATTGAACATTACTTATCCATCTAAAATATTTTCATCGATACAGTGTTGCCACTTTTATCAGAAACAACTAGCAATTTTGTTATTTCGAATTAAACACCCTGTATTTTATTGCATTTTCAGATTCTTTCTAAAGAACTGATTTAATCAATGCATCACACTTGGGATCTAGCAGGAATGATTACATAGATATAGGGTGATCATAATCGAGATTTTACAATTTCAGGATTTTTTTGTGTCGAAAGTATTCATTATTGATCAAAACGGCTTACATGTCCCTATCTTAACTGTCGATTCACTATCTACTGGCATTTAATTGGAACAGATACAGGGTGACCAAAAGTCTGAATTTTGAAGCACCCTGTATTTTTTTCAATCAAATTCCAGTAGATAGTCAATGAAAAGTTAAGATAGAGACATATAAGCCGTTTTGATCGATAATGAATAGTTTTGAAACAAAAAAATCCTAAAATTGGAAAATCTCGATTTTGAACATCTTATATCTCTGTAATCATTCTTGCTAGACCCCAAGTGTGATGCATTGATGAAATCAGGTCTTTAGAAAGAATCTAAAAATGCAATAAAATACAGGGTGTTCCATTCGAAATAACAAAATTGCTAGTTGTTTCTGATAGAAGTGGCAACACTGTATCGATGAAAATATTTTAAATGGATAAAGAATGTTTAATTATCAAAGAATCGCAATTTTCAGGACGTTTTGTCTTTTCGTTCTACAGATACTTCTAATAGGCCATCCACCGTGGACCACCCTGTATAGTTATAAGTATTTGAAAGAGAGCCTTAGATAATGATGAATTGAAAATATTTCAAGAAACCTATGTTATTCGATAACAAAATGTCGTACATGTATATTATTTTTTATGTTTGATTTTAGAAATGATACAAATTTCCCAAAATTTGGATTAGCAGTTTTTAGAATACGTAGAATTATCCGTTTCTTTTTTAAATTTACGTTTTTTATAAATTGTTTCAGCACTTGCATTTCAGAAAATTCACTAGGAAATATGAAAAATTCGTCAATTTCACTGAAAATTGACACTTCATTACAATTTAAATAAAATTTATTATTTCTAGAAAATTCTATTCCGAAAAGAAAAATTCAACTATTTAACTATAAAAAATTGCATATAAAAAAATAGTAATAAAAATTCTTGTATCCTTATCTGTTTCTCCTGATACTACTAGAATTTTCAAAACATTCCCAATAAATTTATATTTATTGAAGATAAATAGTTTAATATGTCCATATAAATTATCATATATTTTTTATCTCAACAGATATCGTTCTTAGTGGGCCATCATCAGTACAGTCCATGTCGTTACACAGTTTCTACTTTTCTCAGATGTGCTATAATTAATTCTCAGAGGAGTTAACTAATTCCACGTCTTCATTTTAAATATATAGAGATCATTCGAAAATAATACGTAATATGCCTACTACATTTACTCCTGAATTTTTTGTGAAAAATCCGGTTAAACTAGGTTTGTTGGTGAGATATGCCAGAAAATGTGAAAAACTTCAAAAGAATTTGAATTACAATACATTATATTTTAAAATTTTAAAATATAAATCACGCCCTTCTCTGTTGACGTTAGATGCTTTGACTAATGCTGTTATAAACTTTCCCCTGGAATTATTACAAAGTAAGCCATTATGGTATTTATCAGCATATGCAGCTGTGGCAATATATGTTAGGAATATATTTCCAATTAAAGACATTGAATTAGGTAGGACAGTTAGCATAATTGTTGCTAAAACCATTTATGAGCACTTATTTAAAGTAAATGCAAGTGATGAAAGATTACGCTTATTTCGGAGTATATTACAGGCCAAAGGTACGTTACGTTTTTTTGAACATGCGGATATGTTTCATGACTCAGCATCTGAGGCTTTACTCAGAAATAGCGTGAATAACTATTTAACCGTTAGGACGAAAGTTCCACTAGAACTGACGTTTGAACGCGATAGTCACCGACAAAAAAGATATAATATTGATTTACCATCGACTTCATTTATTGCTTCTTCAGAATCAGACTCTGATAACAAATCTGATGAGGATAATCAATCAAGTAACGAAGTTGAAGTAGAAGATGATATTGAATCAGACGATGACGATGAGATGATTGAACCGTCACAACGATTACCATCTTCAACAATAGCTTTACCATCTTCAACAATAGCTTTACCATCAACAAGTAGAATATATCATTCAAGTTCTGACACTGATGAAAAATTTCAATTTTCAAAATCTATTTCAACATCTAATATTTCAAAATCAATTTCTACATCTAGTATTTCAAAATCTTCTGAATATCAAAACGTAGCTCATAATGAATCTGCGAAGAATATTTCTTCATCAGGTTCGGAACTTGAGGAACACTATTCATTATCAGTAAAGTCTAAAATAACTCGTAAGTCAAGTTCTGAATTAGAATTTTTAACTATTGAACACTTCGAAAAGCCTCGTCCACTGAATCACAGTGATAATTTCAGTGGAATTACTCGTCTTAATTCTGCTGTTGATGTCATTGAAAAAGCTTGTCCACTGAATCAAAATGACAATTTCAGTTCTAGTGGAATTATTCGTCCTAATTCTGTTGTTAATGTCATTTCATCAATAACACTGGTACCATCAAATGTTAAATCTGTATCTGATGTAGTTGAATCTGTATCTGATGTAGTTGCAATGTCACGTGTAGTAGAAGTTCCGACTTCAATTGGAGATACAGTTCCATTTGAAGTTTCAACTTCAATTGGAGCTACAATTCCAGTTGTTTCAACTTCAATTAATATGGCGACAGCAAATGAATGCATCGGTATAACTTCAGACGAAGTTATAACTGCAGGTATAACTTCGGCTGAAGTTATACCTATGAATGAATCAACATCAATTACAACATCAACTCCAACTGAAATTATAGCTCCAATTGATAATGAAATAATCGTGAGATCAACTGGAGTTGTAGCTCCAATTGAAGTTGGAATTGAAAATTCAACTACAATTACATCTGAAGGTACAGCTGTTGAAGATTTTGATTGACCAGGGTCATCAACTTCGTCAATTGGAATTTCTAGATTAGAAATGAGAACTGAATTGGAATCAGTATCACAAACAAAATGTGACAAATATAAATATAAAGTTGGTGATATTATTTTAGGCAAAGTAAAAGGTTATACCTATTGGCCATGTAAAATTTTCATGATATAGGCACTGTCCTATAAAGTAAAGTTTTATGGGAGAGATGCCAAGGGAATGGTATATAAAAACAAGTCAGAGGATTTAACAGGGAAAAATTTTCACGAATTTTGTTTAAATTCGACGAAGTTGAAAAAAATTCAGGCATACACACTTGCAAAGGCTGACATGTCTAACAGTATTTTTAAATAATAATATTTTTCGAATGATTTCTATGTATTTATTATGGAAGGCATTGGAAAGTAGTAACTGCATCTGCAAACTGAACCTGAAGAAAATGTGCATAATAAGTATGTCGGATCTTTTGTAGTATTTATTTTGTTTGTATGAAAATTAGGTAAATAATTATGTATGTATTGTTATCATTTTCATTAATGATGTAAATGTTGAAATTTATGTGTATATATTGTGGTATATGCATGATTACAATGGTATTGTCCATTTAGATGAATTATTTAGGTATACAGGGTGGCACACTATCAATGGTACCTTAGACGTATACGGAAAACGGTACATTAGATTATCCTGAAAATTTGGTTATTGTAATAAGCGTTTGTGATCTAACGATTCAAAATATTTTCAGCGTTGCCATTTTTACCAAAAAGTAGCATCATCTTTGTTATTTCAAATGGAATACCCTGTATTTCATTGTGATTTTAAATTTTCCTCAAAGAGCTGATTTCATCAATGCATCACATTTGAGGTCTAGCAGAAATTATTATAGAGATATAGGGTGTTCAAAATCGAGATTTTTCAATTTCAGGAATTTTTTGTGTCGAAACTATTTATTATCTATCAAAACAATTCACATGTTACTATCTCACCTTTTGAGCCACTATCTACTGACATTCAATTGGAACAGATACAGGGTGATCAAAATTCTGAATCTTGGACCATCCTGTATATTTCCAATTGAATGTCAGTAGATAGTTGATCAAAATTTAATACAGGGACACGTAAGCCGTTTTGATCAATGATGAATAGTTTCGCCACAAAAAAATCCTAAAGTTGAAAAATCTCGATTTTGAACACCCTATATCCCTGTAATAATTCCTGTTAGACCCTAAGTGTGATACATTGATGGCTTGGCTCGGAAATTTTGCTTCAAGTGCGGACGGTTGGACACAGTCTCATACTCATGTCCCAACTGCGCAAAAAACTCGAGAAGAGGTCACCAGTAGGCCGGTGGGTAGACCTCCCCACTACTATCCTCCCGGTCGATCAAAGAACTTCCGTAATCATCGATTACGTGCTCGCTCACGCAAAGGGTGACACGAGGCCATATCTGACGGTGGATATTTTGGGCCAAAAGTTCCTATCCCTATTGGACTCGGGCTGTACTCGCACTGTTTTGGGAGAGAGGGGTTGGAAAATTCTTGAACCGTTCTGTCGACTACAAGAGGTTTCCGAGCAGCAATGCACGGTTGCTAATGGACACAGCTGTCCCGTAGTGGGGATGATTGCTGTTCCAGTGAACTTATGTGGTAAGGTGAAAATTTTCGAGATATTGGTAGTTCCCTCTCTTCCACATACTCTTATACTTGGTATGGACTTCTGGTCAAGGATGCGAATCATTCCGGACATGTTCTCGGGGGAATGGAGTTTCCGGAACTCGGAGGAGGAGGAGTCGGCCCCACAGTATCTGAATTTTATCAGTACCCTATCGGACGTTCAACGCCGACAGCTAGATGCCTTGATTGAGGCAACTTTTCATTCTATGGGGACTGAACTAGGATGTACCAACTTAGTTTCTCATGTCATCCAGACTACCTCTCCCCCTCTTCGTCAGCGATATTACCCGGTATCTCCAGCACTATTGAAGCAGGTGCATCTTGAGTTGGATCAAATGCTCTCTGACGGAGTAGTAGAGCCCTCGTCCTCCCCTTGGGCCTTGCCTATTCTGTTGCTGCGAAAAGATGACGGTCGTTACAGATTTGTGGTAGATTTCCGGCAGCTCAACAAGGTCACGGAACGGGACGCCTACCCTCTGCCTTTAGTAAGTGCTACCCTGGATAAGCTACGGGATGCGCACTATTTGACCACTTTGGACATCAAATCTGCTTACTGGCAGATTCCCTTATCGGCCGAGTCAAAACCACTGACCGCATTCATTGTACCCAATCGGGGGCTCTTCCAGTTTACCCGGATGCCTATGGGCCTTCACAATGCTCCTGCAACATGGCAAAGGTTCATCGATCGGGTTATCGGGGTAGATTTAGAACAATACGTCTTCGTCTACCTCGATGACGTCATCATATGCACAGACACCTTCGATAAACATCTTCATATTCTGACAGAGGTTTTGGCGCGACTTGCGGGCGCGGGCCTGACGCTGAATAAGAATAAATGTCACTTTTGCAAGGCGGAACTCAAATACCTGGGCTATGTCGTAGGCTCATCAGGGTTGATGGTGGATCCAGAGAAGGTAGAGGCAATCGTTAAGATTCCTCCACCACGTACTGTTACCGAGGTGAGGAGACTTATCGGGCTGGCCTCCTGGTACAGGCGCTTTGTGCCAAATTTTTCCTCCCTTACTTCACCCCTCTGTGCGCTGCTGAAAAAGAATTCGAAGTTCGTCTGGGACGAGTCTTGTGATCAGGCCTTCCGCACTCTCAAGGACCATTTGATCACCGCGCTTGTCCTTTCATTTCCAAACTTCGAGCTGCCCTTCGTGATACAAACCGACGCATCGGACTACGGTATTGGGGCTGTGCTCTCGCAGGCTTCCGAGGAAGGGGAGAAGGTGATCTGTTACTTGAGTAGATCGTTAACGGCCACGGAAAGAAAGTTCAGCACCACCGAGAAGGAATGCCTGGCGGTGCTGTTCGCTATTGAGAAGCTAAGACCTTATGTAGAAGGAACGAGGTTCAGCGTAATCACCGACCACCACAGTCTCAAGTGGCTTAATAACATCAAGGACCCGGTTGGCAGGATCGCCAGATGGGCGGTGCGGCTCCAACAATATGATTTCGATATAGTCCATAGGCCCGGTCGCGAACATTGCGTTCCAGATGCCCTATCGCGAGCTGATGAAGCCCCACCAACCACGAAGGACCCATGGTATCGGCGTATGATCGCCCTAGTGAAGGCCCGACCTGATCGCTATCCCCTTTGGCGGATAGAGGGGGTGCGTATTTTCAAAAAGACCAAGGTCCCTTATCCAGGTCTCTCGGAAGAATCCGATGGATGGCTGTTGGTGGTCCCGAAAGAAAATCGCTCGGAGATCATCCAGAGAAATCATGACCCTCCCACGTCAGGACACTTGGGAATCTTCAAAACATGTTCCCGGATAGCCACAAAGTTCTACTGGCCCAAACTTCGTCAGGATGTCGCGCGGTACATAAATAGATGCCAGACGTGTCTGAAGACCAAACCTGAGCAGAAGGCACCGGCGGGACTGATGCTAAGTGCTGGCCCTACGGTATCACGACCATGGGAGATTTTAAGCGTCGACCTAGTCGGTCCGTTACCTCGATCTACCGCGGGCTATACGTATATATTTTCAGTAATGGACATATTCTCCAAATTTATTCTCTTGTTCCCATTACGGGCGGCAACGGCGGCAAAATTGACCACCCTGTTTGAGGAAAATATAATTCTTCTGTTTGGGGCTCCTCGACGGGTCATTATGGACAATGGGGTGCAATTTCGGAGTGGATCGTTCAAGTTGCTACTACAAAGGTATGACATTATCCCAGGCTACATATCAAATTATCACGCTCAAGCCAATCCGGTGGAGCGCAGCCACCGGGTTATCAAAACAATATTGACATCTTATGTTGCCGATAATCACCGCACCTGGGACAAGTTGCTCCAACAAGTGGCGTGCGCAATCCGGACGGCCCGACATGAAACTACAAGATTAACCCCAAATTTCGTTATGTTTGGCCGGGAGATAAGATTATCGGGACAAGACAAACACTTCTTGTCAGATGAGCTCGACCAAACACCTTTTGAAGCAGTTATCCGAAATGAGGTTCTTGGCCAAGTTTTCGAAGATGTGAGTAAAAGAATTTAGGATGCCTTTATAAGGAGTAGTAAGCAATACAACCTTCGACGTCGTGACGAACGGTTCGTACTGAATCAACAAGTGTGGAAGAAAAATTACGCGATTTCGGACAAGGCTCGTGGAGTGACGGCAAAATTTCTTAACAAATTCGATGGCCCCTTCACGATTTCACGCATCGTCTCCCCCTGGTCCTATGAGCTTTCCAGTGATATGGGTAAAAGCGTTGGCGTATGGCATGCCAAGGACCTCAAGGCTCACCCTCCCGATACGGACTCTTCAGAAGAATAGAAGTTCTTCATTAGAAGTTTTTTTTTTCTTACAAAAAAAACTTCTCTCAGGAAGAGGGGGTGTTGTTACGATCCAAAAGTACCTGCTCTGATCTCAATGGGAAATCTACTAATTTATGCATTTAGATGAGAGAATGGTGCCAGATTCAGATATATCATACAAAGCCCTACGCTCATTTGCATCTTTATTTCAAGTATCATATTATAACAACAGATATAGATGGTAATCCTGCGGTATCTAACAGCTCTGGGATTGGTGCTCTCCTCGTTGCAGTAACCCCTAAAATCATTCAATGTATTAGGATAATGAGATTACCAGGAGCTTTGTACTTACCCGCTTGTCCCCTACTCCTGGCTTTTGACCTGTTCCATCCAGGGTAGCCAGTTTCCATCAGCCAATGGTAACCCTGCACCTCAAGATGTTCATTCCTGAAAATCAGAAATAATTATAAATAACTTCCATCAGATTATTTTGTTTTGGGTTGGTTAGGATAGGTTATGAGTATGGATTTACCTCTTGCCAGTGCAGAACATCTTCTGTGACTGAA